CTTCCATGATACCATTCCTCCGGAGTGGTAACACTTGTTAAAGGTTGACACTGACAAATTGAGTTAGTGGTGTAAGTGCAGCGTCTGAGTGGCTTGTGTCACTTTTAGTAGCGGGGTATTATTTGCGAGGCAACTCATTAGTGCCCTCAATGTGTTGGTCGAAAGCGTGCTTGGCACAGGACTTTGACATTATTATTATTTTATTATTATTATTATTACACAAGAGAGAGTTTGGAAGCTTTGTCACAACTCCGAGTTTCACGTACATGTATCTCTACGATCATCAGGCAACTGATGGATCCAAAACGGGCAGCCAGAACATAAGGGGGAGCAAGGTGGGAAATTCCGAGGGGTGTCATAGGCGACGCGTATCATAGCACAAGAGTCAGGTGCAGGCGTGAAGTTGCCAAGTCTTCAGACTTGGGGCTATGCAGCAGTAGTTCCGGCATGAATGATATGGAATAGAGCTGGGGGCAAATGCCAAATCCACACATGCCCACACCACAACACAAACATACACCCACACTCTCTCCCTTTTCTCACATACACATACACTCACACGCGCGTCCGCACACACATTCTCTAAATCTCTCTCTCTCACCCACACACACACACACACACACATTCATTCTCTATATCTCACACATGCACACGCACACACACATTCATTCTCTTTATCACACACACACGCATTCTCCAAATCTCACACACACATTCTCTAAATCTTACATTTGATTGAAAGAACAGTACTACTACTAGTACATGTAGATGTATGTACAAAGACAAGTAGGGATTGATGAGGAGAGAAATAGGGAAAATCAAGGGCAGCTGAGGGCAGCTTTGAACTTATAGAGCGAGGCTTCCGATGTTAGACTGGGGGGTAAACAGTTCCATAGAATGGCATTTCGGAACATGAAGAGAGACAATGATTTAAATTTGGGAAGAATGATTTTATTTGGTCGTCGCTCACTATCCGTAATCTTGAAATGGAAATCAGCAAGGTAATGACGATGATGGAAAACTTACATGCATGTTTGTTGATTTTCGTCAGCTCAAATCACCGACAGACTTTTTCGCAATTTCCCTGCTCCCATGGTAGGAAGGGTGCAGACGCATGAGATTCCGATAGCAGATCTGGATCCCTCCCTGGTCATTCCCTTTCCCAAGCACGCCAGGATTCCTGAAGGACTAACATTCTGAACATTTGGCACACGGAGGCACTCTGAAACTCTGCCAATTGCTACCATTAGGCATGGGGTTCCTTGTTCCGAACTCTAGCTGGCCGCAGTATTATGTTCAGGCAATGAGTAACCAACATTCTGTTCAACCACATTCCACCTCTGTTATACCCCCTCCCCCCTCCCCCCCCCCCCCCACACACACACACAAACACACACCATGTACCATATATACGCCCGTCGCAAGAGAATCACGCAAATCTGCAAATGCACCGGATGTGCACCCACAGATTTTCTCTTACAGTAACGATAGAGAAAAAGATCTGAATGAGACAGATCAAGACTTGCGCCAGATAACTGTGTAATCCACACAACTGGCGAAGCCATGTGAATCGACCACCTATGCACACCTGGTCTACACCACACGGAGAACATCGGCATAAAACGGCCAAGTCAGTTACAAATGCACACCCTACACTCGCTGGGGTAACCAGTATAGACAGCACGCTGCTTTGATAGAACAAACACACACACACACGCACACACACACACACAGGAACACACACACACGTACACACAGGAACACATGTATTAAACGAATGCAGGGAAAATCCCGTCGGTTCAGTCACGCATCGGGGCCATAAGCGCCAATAGACCGCGACGAAAGTAAGGGGTTAACGAAAATGTCCAGATATTGTTCGCACATGTAATCAATCAATACTGTTTCGGTCTTCTCCATTTCTGCGCCTCTTTTTTAGCGACACTGGAGAAGAAAGGATAAACGCAGTCAAAAAGAAAGTACTGTGACTGAAACAATTTGGTGTTTCTAAATTTACAACAGAAAATGTACATTATTGGTCTTGACCTTTCACGCAAATGTTAAGTTGCCTGTGTTCGCCCCTGGTATTTCTAGTACCACTTCCACAATGTAATTTCTCCTGAATAGTTAAACTACATGTTGTAATGACGGTCGAAACTGACAGATTGAGTGAGTGGTGTAAGGGAAGTATCTGAGAGTCTCCTGTCACTGTTAGTAGCGGGTGTTATTCGCGAGGCACTTCATTAGTGCTCTTGTTGTGTCTGTGGAAAGTGCATGTTGCACATGACTTTGACATACATGTACATGTAGATTGTTTACTAGCTGTAAAATCTTTTTACAGAAAGGCCTGGATACACTCTCTTAATAACTCGTCTTACTAGTTTCGTCATCATCCAGTTACTTTCGGCATTCTTTGTTGCGGTGATGCGTAGCTCGTGCTCTTCTTCGTTGCGCTTTCCTTCCCCTCTTGGACATTTCCGAACCTGAGCCTTCCAAGTTGGAAGGCTGTTGGTTTGCGCCTTGGAGAAGTGTTGGAGCTAGGTGTCAGGTCGCCGAATGCCTCAGCACTCCTTTGTCAGTTTTGTGCCATTTTGACGCACTCGCTGACTGTATAAGATCTGGTTACGTTGGTGGACAGTTAGTCATAACTCGTAACATTTTGTCCTTCTTTTCACCATATTTTTCTTTTATTTCTTATTTTTCATTCGTGTTGGGTTTAACTATTCACTGTATTGACTCAGTCATGGTGATGATTGTGCTTCCCTTTGCCCGTAAAAGAGGCCTTGTCAAATGAGAATGGGGAACGGAGCTCTCCCTTAATGTGGTGGTTTAAGAGTTTTCGTGGCTGTTGTCAGCCTGTCATTGTCGATAAATGTAATAACCAGGGAGGAATCCTGACTTGCCCTCAGGATCCAATTGTTTCTACACTCTTCCTTGCCCGAAAGCAGGGAAAAAATATCTGTCATTGAACTATCTGTGATTGAACAATCTATGCAACAGTGCTGTGCCACCCGCACCTCCTACCAGCACACTGATGGCACTAATACGGCGCCTTACAAACACCACCATGCTACTAACAGCCACAGAAACCACTCAGCAACGTCACTTACACCACTCACTCAATCCGTCACTGTTAACCTGAAATTCATTAGTTCAATACTTGAGGAGGAATTGCATTGTGAAAGCGTGCCTGCAAACATCACCGTTATCACCCACTGAGTGGTAGACTCTACCCAGCAAATCGGACTCATTACAGTGCATTTCAAAACTATAGACGCGTAGGGTTTTTGAAATATTTCAAATTTGGCTGGAACTTTTTGAGAATAGTTTTCGGAATATTGCTCAGGATCGCTCCACAATAACTCTCATATAGTTTCTAAAGGATTGGATAACAGACGCCCAATTTGGAAAAATTTATGCACAAAGTGATCACAGATTTTATGTTGTATAGATGCTGGCATAACGGTTTTTGCCTAGGTACGCGTCTATAGTTTTGAAATGGACTGTAGAGCTATCCGAATGCATCGATATTGCTTAGCGATACTCTGCACATGTAAGTACGGCCAGTTAGAGTTCGGTATAGGGAACCCAACTCCTATTGCTGGACATTGGCAGAGTTTCTGAGGTCCGCTGTGTGCCAATGGTTCAGCAGGTTGAGGACAGTACTAACACGATTACCAGATTTCCAATGCCAGTATCGCCAATAGCGTTTCGCGTGACAGAGTTCCCGCAAGGGCTTCTTGGTCGGGTATAAAAAGCCGAAGAAAAACTGGAAGAGTATCATTTCCCGAATTTACAATCGTAATCAAAGCTGGTTTCATGTTTCCAAAGTTGTTTGCCAGCCGACAGAATTATGAAGAACCTTCGGTAATTCTACTTGGTTTGACCATGGTGGCTGGGTGTTTGTTGACCGGATCTGACGCTGCTCCGTCGTTTGTGGATTCTGCCGTAGATGCTGTCAATGCGGCCCAGCCAGATAGCGGAGAAGCTATGGAGGAGTTAGCTGCTGCTCTGGCCAACAACATTGTAAACCTGGCCAATTCTGTTCAACAGGACGCGTACATGTCTGTGCACGACACCGACTGCCCTGACTTGAAGGAACAATACCTCAACCTTTTACCTTGTGGCTCGTTGCCAACCGACCACGCTGAATTCCATCGTCTTTCTTACCGATGCCAGTGTCGTATCCGGACGGCCCGGGGTTAGACCCCATGCAAGGCTGCGGTCGTCGACATGAACTAACTTACTTACTAAACCTTCACATTACAAGGCCGTGCAGTGGTGGCCACTTGGAGAGAGTCCACCAACAGAATTACTCTTACGCACGCACGCACATATACCTAGACATACTCTCACTCACACACTCAGGCATATACAGACACGTACACTCACACCAGCGTTCAGGTTGACGCACATCTTCAAAAGGAGCTTACTTGGTTCAAGAGACGATATTGAGAGCACAAGGCAAGACAGACGAAAGCCGAAGCTTCCCCCTGAAGGCGGAAGGCAAGAGAGAGAGAGAGAGCAAAGGAAGGTGATAGCAATAGTATCTTGTGATCGAATCCATGTGTTCAATGCATTCTAGGTTGCTAACATAACAAACCAGACCAGACACGGTATGGACTCATGATTGTATGTAGGTGTGAACAAGTTAGTTTCTGGCAATGTTGTGGTGTTTGGTTTCCGCCCAACATTGTCGATCTGCATGTTTGCACTAGCGTGCTGCTGAACCAACGCAGCCGAACCAACGTGCCTTGCAATGCTTTGCTAGGCTTTTCTTTCACTGTATCTTTTTGGTCACATATAATACCGTACACTTTTCTTACTCAACAGAATCTTAGAACGAAGAAGGAACGGTCGGTTGTTGTCTTTGGCGGTGTGTCGGATCATAGTGCATGCTACTAGGCGCCATTCGGTTACAGCACTTTTTGGTGCCGAAACCCGGGACTCAGGAGTTTGTGTTGTAACTCGGAATAGTCGGGCGAATTGGGTAGCAGTGCGAGATGGCCAAAGTCGAATGCTTCTTGAGACCGTTCCGCGGGGGTCGGGACGACCTGAGCGAATTCTGGGCGAAGTTCTCAGTTGTCGCGGACTTGCAGAAGTGGGACTCGGACGAAAAGAAGATGGCGAATCTACCGCTCTATCTCGAGGGTGAGGCATTCACCGTGTGGAACGAGATGGCGGCAGCGGATAAGAAGAAGCCGGCCGATGTGAAAGCGAAGCTGACCGCCGCTTTTGGGATGGCACCGGATCAAGCATACTCGATGTTTACGTCCAGGATCTTGCGAGGAGACGAGTCGGTGGACAACTTCGCAGCGGACTTGAAGAGGCTTCTCACCTTGTCTGGTGAGCAGGTTGATGCTGATGGGAAGAATAAAATAGTGATCGGGCAGTTTCTCTCCGGGCTCCCCTCTCAGTTTGCGAAGGAGCTCCGTATGAGTGGAAAAACGGACACCATCGACGATTGCGTGGAGTACGTCAGGCGGCTTAGAAGCGTGGAACGATCGATGAAGCCCGGTGTGGCAGCAGTGAGCTACGGTGCTCTAGACGATCGGGCTCCATCAGGCTCTTCCAGGATGACCGCTGCAGCAGGTGTAGGTCGCGACTCCGCAAGACGTGTCCTGTGTTACAAGTGTGGTCAAGTTGGCCACTTCAAGCGGAACTGCCCTGCGAGCACTAGTAGTAGTAGTGGTACCGGTAGCCACAAGCAAGCCAAACACAGTCAGCTGACGTGTTTATTCTGCGACGAGGCTGGGCATATGATGAGAGATTGTTCGGAGTTCAAGGCCTTCAAGCAGAAGAAGCAGCGGGGTGGGAGTGCAGCCGCTGCTCCTGTGCACTCTGGTGATCATGGTGACTCCAAGGTGTTATGCCTGAGCAGTGGAGGTGACAGTCTGCCACGGATCTTTGTGGACATCAAACGGTCCGGCGGTCCAAGCAAGCGTGTAGTAGCTGCTGTGGACACCTGTGCATCCCGCTCCCTTGTAGCTAGCGCCCTGGCAACCGACCTAGCTTTGGATATCAGGCCTACGTCATCGACAATTAATGCGATCGATGGCAGTCCGGTGGATGTCCGTGGCGTCGTGGAGTGTACAATCTCACGGCTGGATAGTGCTGTGGTTCGCCTACGTGAGACCGAGACTGACATGCTGGTGGTGGACGACCTGTCTGTCGTGGAGGCTGATGTGCTGATTGGAGTTAACAGCATCGCGACTCTGGGTGGTGTGCATATGCAGTATGACGCAGGAGAACTGGTGGGGGTTGTATTCGGGACCGTCAGTGCTGCATGCCCATTGGTGCTGGCGTCGAGCACCCCAGATGAGCATCCGTCACGCCCCGAGTCGGAAGCACGAGCCGTCGCTGAAGACTTTCACCACGCGGACGTGGAGAAGCTCAGCAATGGCGATGTTGTGCTGCGGGCATCAGATATGATCCTCCGGTGGAGTACGGCTGACAAGGCGTGGGAGGTGCAGTGGCAATGGGCGGACAAGACGGAGCCGACTACGTGCATCGGGTCAGGCCTTGGAGAGTACCCACGATCCAAGCTCTCCAAGGAGCAGGAACAGCTATTTGGAGATGAGGTTGAAAAATGGCTCGGCAACGGCTGGCTAGTGAAGCATGACGTCGAGAAGCATGGTGAGCCGAGATGTGTGCTGCCTCTGCTCGCTGCTACGCAGGAGCATAAGGCATCAACGCCAGTTCGGCCCTGCCTCGACTACCGGCTCCTCAACCAGAAGCTGACGTCGCACCCTGGCACCGACGCTCCGGCATGTGGCGAGACGCTACGGAGGTGGCGTCAAGCGGGCGTTCCGCAAGCGTATCAGCTGCTGGATATCAGCAAAGCGTACCTACAGGTACGCATTCATCCCGATTTGTGGCGATCAGTGCGTGGTGTGGCGTGGCGAAGTGTACGTCCTGGAGCGGATGGGCTTCGGGCTGTCCGTGGCTCCAAAGGCAATGGACTTGATCGTGAAGTGGGCCACGCGTGATCTCGCTGGCGTAGACAACTACGTGGATGATCTCTACGTCCCAGAGCAGCTCGTCGACCGCACCAAGTCGCGGCTCCTGGAGTATGGCCTGCCAACCAAACCGGCTGAGCCAGCCGTGAGTGCGCGTGTGCTAGGTCTGCAACTTCAGGCTGATGACGAGGGGAGTGTGTCGTGGACGCGTCGCGAAGGTGTGTCTCTACAGCTACCCGACAAACCAACGAAGCGCGAACTGTTTAGTTGGTGTGGCAGAGTGATTGGGCACTACCCTGTGTGTGCCTGGCTGCGCCCATCGTGTTCGTATGTCAAGCGCCTTGCCTGCACGTCAGAGGTGGCATGGGATCAGGCTGTACCGGATGCTGTCTTGAAGTGTTGCCGCGACATTGTTCACCGCCTGTGCAATGATGATCCCGTTAGCGGAGTGTGGTACGCTGACCCAACGATGGGTACGTGGCGAGCGTATTGTGACGCGTCCAACCTGGCAATTGCCACGGTGCTCACGCAGGATGGCAAGGTTGTCGAGGATGGTTCATGGTTGCGAGACAAAGCAGACAAGCGTCATATCAATGTGGCGGAGCTCGAGTCGTCTCTGAAGGCGCTGGATCTGGCCATCCGGTGGGACGTCAAGAACCTGACCATCGTGACCGACTCGAAGACGGTTGCTGGTTGGTTGCGCTCGGTCTCGCAGAATACTCATCGCGTGAAGGTCGGGGGTCTCCACGAGTCTCTCGTCCGTCTCCGCCTGCAGGTGTTTCAGGACACTGTGGCTGCTGCTGGCATGACGGTGTCCGTGGAGTGGGTCCCCTCGGAGTCGAACGTTGCAGATCGGCTCACCCGCGTGCCGACCTCATGGCCTCCCTGTCGGGAGGAAGCAGGTGAAATCGCAGCAGCGCTACCAGCAAGCTCTATGAAGGGGCCAACGTCGATGCGGTCTATCCGCGGGTGCCAAGCGGTAGATGCGGACGTGCAGCTGACGGTGACACAGCTACAGGATGGAAAGCAAGTGACGAGCCAGCTGTACAAGAAATCAAAGGGTCAGCTGCGTGTTATTGATGGCGTCCTGTACCTCAGTCGTGTGGACCCCGTCGATGGTGATGTGATCGTACCGGTCCTGCCTACTGCACTGCAGAGTGAAGCCGTCGGTGCTGCTCACCGCAACACCGGACATGGTAACTGGGAGACCATGTGGGGCAGTCTTCGGAAGTGCTGTCATTTCCCACAGATGGCGCAACGCTGCCAGGAAGTCGTCCGAGACTGCGGGACGTGCCGTGCAGCGAACCCGTCGCGAGGAGAGCCCAACCCTCCAGCCGCGAGAAGCGACCTACCAACCAGGCCGTGGGAAGTCATCCAGATTGATACGTTAGAGCTGGGACCCAGCCGCAGTAGTTCCTACCATTGTGTCCTCGTGTGTGTGGACATGTTCACACGGTGGGTGGAAGTCGTACCCCTAGCCCGCCATGATGGTGTCAGTGTCGCGGAGGCGCTTGTTGGTATTTGCACCCGGTTTGGCCCACCAAGCGTAATTCGATGTGACAACGGCACGGAGTTTGTTAACTGTGTGGTGTCGTCTCTGCTATCGATATTCGGCGTACATGTGAGGCATGGAGCTGTGCGCCACCCTCAGAGCCAAGGGGGAGCCGAGCGCTTCAATCGCACGTTGCTGGGTCTTATCCGCAAAGTGGTCGAGTACAGCAGCGATTGGCAGACAGAGCTGAACATGCTGCTCTACTACTACAGGGTGCGGCCGCACAGTGCTACTGGGATTTCGCCATGCGCCGCAATGATGGGATGGGAACCACGCAACCTCCTGGTCGAGCGCGAGGAAGAAGACCTCAGTTTGTCAAGCTGGGTTGAAAGCTTGGCAGAGAAGACGGCACGTGTGCGAGACCTCGTAAACGAAGAGCTCTCTCGGAACGACACAGAGAGCGTGATCGAAGGAGCAGAGTACAGCGTAGGGGATGCGGTGCTGTTACGTCGGCCTTCCCGGAGCCGCAAATGCCTGGCACCGTACGAGCCTGGGTGGCGCATCGTTCGCGTTGTGTCGCCGTCGACAGTTGTCATCACCCGGGCTGCTGATCCACACTCAGCGGAGAAGATTGTCAACGTGGAGATCATCAAGAGGGATGTCGCCCGTGACTTGGCCCAACCAACAGCGCTGATGGACGACAGTGCAGCGGCTACAGATGGTGGTTATCTGTACCAGCCAGCATCAGTGCTGCCAGGCCCTGAGCCCAACATAGGGGATGGCGGCATCCGCATGTCACTGCGGGACAGATCTGCCATTAGGCCACCATGCACAGCGCTATGGCTCCTGAAACTGTACGTGTGCCGTGTTATCAGTTTAACTTGGCGCGTGCTTAGTTAGGAGCAAGCTAGCAAATGCAAGACCCATTACGCATTTTGCTGTTCTCTTGTTTAGCTGTTGGTGGAGTGTTGTTCTTTTCTTTGGAGAACCTTAGTTCTACGTTTTAGTGCAAGTTCCCTGTTTTGTTGTGTTACCAGGGGGGAATGTGTGATCGAATCCATGTGTTCAATGCATTCTAGGTTGCTAACATAACAAACCAGACCAGACACGGTATGGACTCATGATTGTATGTAGGTGTGAACAAGTTAGTTTCTGGCAATGTTGTGGTGTTTGGTTTCCGCCCAACATTGTCGATCTGCATGTTTGCACTAGCGTGCTGCTGAACCAACGCAGCCGAACCAACGTGCCTTATTCGGTTACAATCTAGTTGCGGCCATGGAAGTCCATGGCCACGAGATTGCTGGTCCCGCATGCAATAGCGTATCAAACCGTAGTAAATATGTGTACGAACTGTTGCATAAAGAGCGGGAGCCATGTGGGGAAATAACAGCGTATACCAAATAAGGAAGGCCCCAGGCCTTGTGTGAAGACATAAAATAAAGACGATTATGAACCCGTTTACGGGAGATAGATAAATAATTAGACACCTAAATAAAGCATACTTGTCCCGTAGAGGCCTAAAAAGGCACGTGTCAATAGTATGGATACGACATATCCCCCCGCTTACACGGAAAAAGAACACGTCCTCGTGTTATAAGTAACGTAATAAATTAGACTAAGATTATGGCTAACAATTTAACTAAACGAGTGCAGGTCAAATTGAAGTTCTTATAAAAAAAACTGTTCAAAGACTAGTTGTAATATTGGCCACAACCAATCCAGTCAATACCACTGAAGTCACTTACTCATGCCACACAGGACTCCCAAACAGCTGGGGCGGATGGCGGGAACGCGGGGTTCGCCTTTCCATCACGCCAACTGGCGGAGCACTGTCAAATACCCGAGCGGTGTCCTCCTCGTCTCGGGCGGCGGCATCAATGGCATCAGGCTGGTAGGACAGAGTCAAGGTGGATGCCATGGACTGCGGTGGGTCCGACTCATCTTGCTCGTGGACCTCCTGCAGCCGACTCGGTTTATGATGGCAACTTTTCAGCCGGTTGACGTGCACTATCAGCCAATGTGCCGTGGGCTCTGACAGCTTGATGCGGTAGGTGACGGCTGAGAGCTTCTCCTCGACTAGGTACGGTCCGTGCCACTGTCTAGAAAACTTGGCGGTTGTACCCGTCGGAATAGCCGGCACCAGAAGCCACACTGCGTCCAGGCGTCGGCGGAGAGCACTCACAAATTCCGGCTGTGACGATACTGCGGATGCTTCTCCTGGCGGTAATCCAAATGCCAAGTCTTGAGGTAGGCATAACTCCCGACCAAAGAGTAGATAGCTTGGACTGTAGCCGGTACTAGTCTGCGGCGTCGAGCGGTATCCCATCAAGAAGGCTGGCAACTTGATGTCCCAATCTCGATGATTCCTGCAGACATAGTGCGCCAGGCCACGCTCAAGCGTCTGGTTGAATCTTTCAACCAGACCGTCACTCTGTGGATGGTACGCAGTTGTCCTGGTCTTATCTATGCCAAGCAGAAAGCAAACACTGCGAAACAAAGAGCCATCAAAGTTTTTGCCCTGGTCGGTATGCAACCGATCAAGAGTACCAAAACGTGACACAAACTCATTGACAAACACTAAAGCAATAGTGGAAGCATCCATTCTGGGCAGCGGAAAAGCTTCCACTCATTTAGTGAAATAGTCCACTACAACCAAAATATGGCGGTTCCCTTCCGCTGTCTCCGGTAAATTGGGGATCAAATCCATTGCTACTCGCTCAAAAGGATACCCCATCCAGGAAGACTGTGGTGGAGCGCCAGACCCTCTGCCTATGAGACGTTTCAACTGGCTACAGGAAGAACAACTTGCAACCCAATCTGAGACATCTTTCTTCATGCCTACCCAGTGAAATTGTTGCATCAGTTTCTTCTGCAGGCGTGTAGAACCCGTATGTCCCCTTGGTCATGATACTCTTGCAAAACCAAAGAACGTAAATGTCGGGGAACAACGACTTGCAAGATAGACGGCTTACCGGGGCAAGGGTCCTCCCAACGACGGCACAACACCCCTTCATGATGAACCAGCATTTCATGATTTTTCCACAAAATACGTACCTCCGGACTGCTACCCATCATGTCCTGTGGGCAAGGCGGAGAGTCCATACCTAGCCAGGACACTACTTGGGCGAGATCTCGGTCCTTCTCCTGTTCCGTTTCCCATCTTGACCACGGCCAGTTGAAACGGTGGATGAGGGGTGTGGGAATGTTGCCAACGTCGTTGTCCACGGCCCCTACGAACAGCGTCGTCGGAGCATCAGGGCGGCGTGACAATGCATCAGCGTTAGGGTGCGATCGACCTGCCCTGTACAATATGGTGAACTCAAATTCAGACAAAAATTCCAGCCAGCGAGCCACAATCGCCGGTGGATTTTTGAAATTAGCCAAGTGTTCTAGAGAACGATGATCAGTACGAATCACAAATTGTTTACCAAGCAGGTAGCAGCGAAAATGTCGCACAGCCCACACCAAACCCAACAATTCCTTTTTCGTGGATGCGTACCGTGTTTCTGTATCGGCCAGAAGTCGACTAGCATACGCTATCGGCCGTTCCAGACCTTTCTGAACCCGAGACAGCACTGCTCCTAACCCTAGTCCACTAGCATCTACGTCTACCAGAAATGGTGATGCATCTTGCCCAAACCTGGGGTAAGCTAGTACTGGGGCGGTCGTCAGCACTGTCTTCAGATTCAGGAAAGCGGTTTCACAGTCAGGAGTCCACAAAAACACTTGGCCAGTTTTCGTCAGGCTGTACAAGGGGCGGGCAATGGTGGCAAAATCTTGGGCAAACCGCCTATAATACCCACAGAATCCCAAGAAACCACGCACTTCTCCAACTGCTTCAGGGGCAGGCCAGTTTCTGACTTTCTCGATCTTACCCGGGTCGGTCCTAACCCCCTCCCGGGTAGAAGTCCAGTCATTCGCGGATCGGGCAGCGGAAAATCCACACTTACCGTCCATTCGAACGACATCACAATGGCATCACAATGTCATAATCATCAATGTCTCTCTCGTTGACAGCACACAAGGTGTCGAATCCTGTTCACTGCGCCAAATGTCGTATCCGGACGGCCCGGGGTTAGACCCCAAGGCTGCGGTCGTCGACATGAACTAACTTTACTTACTTACTAAACCTTCACATTACAAGGCCGTGCAGTGGTGGCCACTTGGAGAGAGTCCACCAACAGAATTACTCTTACGCACGCACGCACATATACCTAGACATACTCTCACACACACACTCAGGCATATACAGACACGTACACTCACACCAGCGTTCAGGTTGACGCACATCTTCAAAAGGAGCTAACTTGGTTCAAGAGACAATATTGAGAGCACAAGCAAGACAGACGAAAGCCGAAGCTTCTGTAGTATCCCTGCTTTACAGTTAACGCATGACTAGTACTTTGCATGACTCTTATAATTACTCTTGTTACTACTTTCGGACAAGTCCTACATCATGTACCTCACATATGATTTGATTACATCAGGAGTACCGCGCTTCTAGAAGATCATAGATCTTCCATGCATGCTGCTGTCATCACTTCTAGTATCACTTCCTTTTAGTTACTAGTTGGTACAGTCATGACTCATGTACATGTATGTCATGTTGTTCCGGACTATTCCAGACTTTCCACGTCATAGGCCCGATGAGTAATGTTGCTGACTAAATTGCATAATATAGATATCTCATCTTCTAGAACACCTCGCTTAGTCATTATGTTAATGTTACGCAATGCTCACTTCATCTACATGTATAGTAATGATGATCTAGGTTTACTTCTCCACTATTCTAGAACTTGTACTAGAAGGATGATTTCGTAATCACTGCAATGGCTTACTAACCTTACTTTCCTACCGCCGCCTGCTTTGCTATACATACTTTGCTTGCCTATAAAAGCTGCTGTGTTTCTCTGCCAAGATGAGCTGAGCTAAGATCGGAGAGATCCGATAGAGATCAGAGAGAGAGAGCAAGTTCACTTTCACTTTGATATAAGATAACCTCCAGGCCGTGCCGGAGTAAGTTCTGATACGTTACTGTAGTTGACTGACTGTGGGTAATAGCCTCCTAGCCTCGCCGACGCACGTTACATTGGTGGCAGCGGTGTGTTTTAAGTAAAACAACGTGATTCGACCTCACCATGGCCCAACCAGTTGCTCCTGCCCCAGCCGTCCGTCAACAGCCGTTGGTGATTCCGGAGAAGTTTTCCGGAAAACTATCTGACAATTGGCCCACCTGGCTGGCTCACTTTCAGCAGGTGGCTGCGTTCAATTTGTGGACGCCAGCCCAACAAGTGCAATATATGGGCCTGGCCCTGACTGGTGATGCCCAGCTGTTCTACCAGTCGCTGCCGGTGGCCACACGCCAGGGCGCATTTGCGCCACTATCACAGGCATTGGCTGCCCGCTTTGCACCACCGCAACGCGCCAGTCTCCACCGGGCAGAATTCAAGGTTCTGCGCCAGGGAAGCCAGGCGAGCCTGTCTTCCTATTGTGAGGCAGTTCGACACGCGGCCGTCCTGGCCTATCCTCAGATGCCTGGCCAGGATCGTGACATCCTGGCAAAGGACCAGTTTGTGGCCGGCCTAGATAGCCGCGCTATCCGCATCCGTGTTAGGGAGCTGGCCCCGGACACATTGGACGCTGCACTGCAGGCCGCACTGCATCAGCAAGCAATCCTCCATGCCGAAACGCCGGAGTCTCCGGGTACTCCGCTTCCTGTGTGTGGAGTGAATTCATCGCCGACGCAGCTGGACGCCATCACAACCGCGCTCCAGACCATTACCAGCCGCCTGGAGACGTTGGAACAGCGCCACAGTCCGCCAGCCCGTCACTCCGGCCCCGCTCCGCAGGACCAACGCCCACGAGGACCTCCGGGCACGTGCTACAACTGCGACCGGCCG